GGCTGTGTTGCTGTGAATCTTACGGGAAGATCAACCCCGAGCTGGTGTGCTGCAACCCCCATCACCTTAGCCGACTCTGCGAACTCGGTAAGAAGTTGTTCTGTGCCCACCCTCCCCTCCTCCTGGCGCTCAGGTGCTGGAAGAAAAGCCCCCTTGGGCAGTGTGTTTGTGCAGCCACCTCGCTAGAGGGTAGTGCACATCCCCTCGTGGGAGGAGACTTGGGGGCCAAAGGTAGAGAAAGAGACTAGGGGAAACTAGAAGGGCATTCCCTGGGGGGTTCCCTTCCAGTTTTTGCTTATGTTGCCCCCCCCCCCGAGGGGGGCTGTGGGCACTGCTCGTGCACACAGTCTACAGACTTGGGGTTAAAAATTAGGCGCCCTCATTTCCGGATCAACCAAGGGGTGCAGAGAACTGGGGGTCACGCCTCCCCCTCACCCGGAAAGGCGTTGAGGTGTGTGGCCGAGTTGGATTCGGTCCAAGCCCGCCAAGGAAGACTGGAAGAAGCAGTTGTAAAGGCTGGAAAGTCTGCTCCTTCGGTAAATAAGGAGAGTCTCGTGGGCACTAGTGGCCAGGATACTGCTCTGGCCGGCGCAGCTTAGGGTTTGGGGACAAAGAGTTAGGATGGGAGGCTGAGGTGGATATCTACTCTCAACTCTGCCAGCCCAGGGTGGAAGAGAACAAGTAGTCAGGAAAAGTTGGTGTCCCCTACTTTTCCCTCTTCTCCAGCCCAGGAGAGCAGTTACTGACTGTAGGATGATCTGATCCCAGCGCCTCCGTGACGATGCTGCCCCTTACCTCGCTGGGGCCTGGGCTTCTCAGCTGAGACCCCAGCCTCCTCTTTATCCTCCCAGCCTCCTCCATTACTTCCTTTTTCTCTACATCTTTGTGCGGAGGCGGGGTGCACCTGGGGCGCCCACAAACCTAAGTTCAGCCAGCGCACTTTTGGGGTGCACCTCTCGGGTGGGCTGGGGAAGGGGAGCTCCGTGTTCCCCGTGCGGATGCAGAGCGGTGCAGCGGTGGCAGAGGTGAATTGCACCCGAGGGACGGGTCGGGGCGG